TCTTTTAACCAGTCGGAAAATATTTCACCGGTCATCCATGCTTTTTTATTGCTTTTGTAGTCAACTGTCAAATTTTTGACATTTTTAAAACATCTCGGAGTCTGAGATTTTCCAATTACTAACAATTTTTTTTTGTAAGAACCAGTCATATTAGAGGCTACAAGAAGCGTGAGTCGCTCTTTAGATAATTTACCACCACTGCATGTTTCCCCTTTAAAACGTAAAATTTACTACTACAATACTGTATTATTAATCGCTATAGGTGATCAATAAAAACCAATTTTCGTTTTAAAATAACATCGCTATATCCGGATTATCGTTATAACCGATATCGTTATATACGAATAAAAATACTACACATAACATATAAAACCAACCAAATACATCGCTTGGAATCGTTTTACCCGGATTATCGTTGTATACGGCATCGTTATAAGCGAATTTCACTGTATTTACTTAAGTTTTTCATAAGAGCTTTAAGAAAATAAAACTTTAATTATATTTCTTTAAATTTAATTTTATCTTAATTCGCATACAAAACTTATTAAAATTTATTTATTTTAAAATAATTGCGAAATTATAATTTGATCATAATTGGACGGCAGTTATTGAGTATTATTTTGTTATAAAAGCAATTCGTTTTTTTCACTTTATTATTATTTTTTACAAACAAGTGGTAAAAAGTTTCAATTTTATTAAAAAATAGTTTAAGGAAGTTAAAAAGAAATGTTAATTATTCATCAAAACTGTACTTTATTTTTAAAGAATATTGAATGAAGAATTAGAGTCTAAAATAAGCGAAATTATTTAAATTTAAACATGAATTCAAATTTTTACATTTTATAAAAACCTTAATTATGTGGTACTTAATCAAAAATTTTGGTTTTACTTTTGAATAAATAAATTTATTTATTAAAAGAAAATAAAAAATAAAAATGTATTAAATTTTAATCATGTTAAGTTATTTATAAAATAATTAAAACATAATTTAAATTTCTGAATTATTTATTAATTTTGCCAAAATCTCACTCAAATTTCCAAATAAATCAAAGTAGAAAAATATTTTTCAAAAATCCTTATTAGCCAGTGTTCTAGTGAAATATAAACTTTAATATAAATACATTAGGAATCTCTTAATAGAGAATTTGTATATAATATAATATTATTGTTATTTCTATTAGTAATTTAAACAGTGTTATATTCAAATTTTTTTTCAATTAAGAGATGCTATAAATTTAATAGGGTTCGTCGTCAACCATATATTTTATGCATCGAAATCATATCCAATTTCAACAATATTATATCGCATGAAAAAAAAAATCGATATGAAAAAAAAAAATTATAATCAAAAACTAAAATTAATATTTATATGTTTCACCATTTTTATTATTTTTAAGAATACCGTTAAGTTACCATTGTTGTAAAAATCAGACTACACCCAAAGAAAAACCTCAATCAAAATTGAAAGAGAAATTTTATCAAGGGTTTATGATAATGTTTTATTAATACGAACAAAATAACTATTCTTATAAATAATTATTGTTCAAGACAAGAAAAAAAAATATCATATTGATAAATATATCATTGATTCAATAGTAATGATATATTTATCAAATTGANTCGATTCAATAGGAATGATATATTTATCAAATTGAACAATGAATTTATTATATAGATCGAGGTTTTTCTCTGGGTGTATGGTATACCAACCAAACAGTTATTAATAAAAATGTTTTACAAGGTTATCTATCACGAACTGTTTTTAGACTAATTTCAAACAATATATAGTTATAAAAAAGTGACCAAAATGTAAACAGTTTTTTTATAAAAAAAATTCGGTGTAAAAATTAACAAAGTCGGGGATATTATTATTGTTGACGAACTATTTAATCTAAAAATTATTCAACCAGAAAACGTTTTTCTTTGTCATATTTTTCATAACATTATAATAAAAAAAAAGTTTTCAACTTAATATTAGTTTGAATATCGCGATACATTTCAAAAATAGCTATTTTATCTTTGTTCCACTGAAATCTTAAGAAGACTCTCCCTTTCCCCAATGATTACCTGGATTTAACACTGACTAAACCCAATATTATATTGGGTACATATCATTAAAATTGTAATACCAATAATTCGTAATCTTTTAATCTGTCATAACTATTTTTTGTTAACCCTAACAAAATAAAATTGTGTCTATTGATCGTACTGATTTTTTGATTAAAATACCGATTTATAAGTTCTTACTAAATTTCTCTTATTATAATAATAATTTTTGAAAAATTTTTTGGGCATACTGTTTAGTATTTATTTTAGTTTATAATTTCTTAAATATTTTTAAGGCTATCTCTTATGGTATCCCAATTTTTTTTTTAAATGGTAAGATAAATAATTAACTAGCTTATAATATAGTGAATTATCTAATTAAGTTAAGGATGGGTCGATGACAACATTTGAGCCAGTAGCTCTGGAGTTATATTATCTTTAAATGTGTACTGGAGGCGAAACCCGAGCTAAGTTATTTTTATCATTACGCATCAATCTGACACACTTGTTCTCCTTTCCATGTATAAAAATATTGACTTTCAAAAAGCTGGTTCAAAAGTTGTTATCGATCAGTTATTTTCTTAATTAGATCATTTAATTTATTAAAATAAATGTGTGTTGTCATTAAAAAAAATTAATTTGATACCATTATAAAGGATAGACCATTATTATATTTAACCACTCATGTATTGAAAAATAAATACTACTTAAATGAGCCTAAAAAAAAATATTTATTTTATTAGTTATTTTAGGAGAAATTTAGTGTTAAATGATAAATCAATTATACTGTATATAGAATGTCTCAGACCTAACTGACAATGCTTATAACTTTGTATATAATTATCATTTGTTGAAATACATATATTTTTATTTTAATCACTAATAAAACATAAATAAATATATATTTTTTAATTTTTAACTTTAATTTCTTAGATCTTTTCTTACATAAATTTTTGGCTAATTAAATTTATCATGAAAAAATCAAAATTTTATTTTATTAATTATAGCGTTTTATAAATAAGATACATTATGTTCATTGACTTTGTGTATGGTCAATTCTTAATCCATACAATGAGTCGTACAAAAATCAATGATTTGATTAAAACAATGTATTATGGAAAATCGCATTGAATATGCTATGAAAAATTATAAAAAATTGTTACTATAATTAAGCTAAATGTTAATTGAATAGAATATTTTTTAAACATTTGGTTTATAATATATTAAAAATGATCATTAAATATTTTTTTCATAAAAAAATACAAATTACATAGTATACAGAATGATCGAAATCTGGTAAGACACTTATTTTCTCAGAAACTATTGAGAATTTAAAATTTTTGTAAAAAGAAAAATTATTAAGTTTATTAAACTCTACAATAATATGAAGTTAAATAATTTTTTTTTTATCCCTTCAGGGATAAAAATGTTTATTTATAATTTTTTTAAATGGAAACCACTATTTTTTATTTGATAATATGATAGCATAAAAAATTACAAACAATTTTGTTTTTATAATTTTTTTTATCCGAACAACCGTTCACGTTATATAATTGTTTAAAGATTTTGACATCCAGAAAAAATATTGTCATTTATTACTTTTCATAATATCAGTGGCAGTGCAACCGGTATTTTATTAGATCCTTTAGTCTTACAAAACCACAGACTTAGCTATTAATAATACACCGAAAACCCTGTTTGAATCTATTATTGTTATTACTCATTTAGTGCGTAGTAAATTTTTGTACCTAATTTACCTGTCATAACTTGATCAATAAAATTTGGTTTATACAACAGCAAATAAAAATAATGACTTTAGCATTTAATACAGTAAAATGACAATAGAAATTTGGCCTAAAATCACTTAACTTTAACAAGCTGTAACGGACGAACGGCTAATCTTATAAAAAAAAATTATAATAACAAAATTGTTTGTAATTTTTTTTTCTATCATATTATAAAGTTAAAAATATTTCCCATTTAAGAAAATTATAAAGAAGAGTTTTTATCCTTGAAGGGACGAAAAAAATAATGATTTGACTGCATATAATTGTAGAGTTATTTGAACTTGATATTTTTTCTCTATAATAAATTTAAAATTCTCAATATTTTCTGAGAAAATGAATGTCTTACCAGATTTTGATCACTCTGTATATCAAGTTTACTACGAGAAAAAATGATTTCAAAGGATAAATTTTAGGGGTTAGTTTTGAAAGTTATACGGGAAGAAACTATAATTATTTTTTTACTTTTAAATAAAGAATTGTTTAAATACAATTTTTGCTGTTCAATAACTAGTTTTTAATTATTCTTTTTTGAATTATAATTTTATTTTTGTAGTTGATAGGTGTGCGCAACGTTGAAGAATTTTTATCTGCGCTTCTTTCAAAAATAGAGCTTCACTAAAATAATACCCCACTCCTCGTTTTTTATTAATATTTAAATGCTAATATTTAAAAAATTAATACTACAAAATGGTAACTGATTATGAAAATGTTCAGTAATTTATTAAAGTTAATAAAAAAATCAACTGTGCATTTATTGCAAATAAATGCATTAATTTTATGTGTTAAATCTGAATGTAAAATACCAAGAGGAAAATTAATCTGAATGATTATATCAAAGTGTTTGATGAACCATACAAATACACTATACCACGTCTGCATACATAAAATTAATGCTTACTCTAATACGGTAGAAATCAATAACGCTTAAACGCAATAGTTAGTCATGCGTTTAGAGAAAGGAACTGACCATATGGAAATATATTTTAGAATTATAATTTCGCTACATTCTCTACAAACTTAAAAAAAACATCGACTACACAGCATAGTTATCATTAAATACATGTTTTCAAATATTAATTAACTTGAGTGAAATTACCTATTGCCTATTGCTATTAAAATACTTATAATTTAAAATGATATTAAGAAAAAAAACCATAATGTTTGCAGGTAACAATGGTCAGTTAATCTTAGAGGAATTGAGGGACCATGTCTGACTCAATAGCTAATTGCGGTTACGGCAGCAGCGAAGAGACGGCGTCGCTGCTGGTTAAAAGTCCGCCGTCAGTAGTCAGAGGTACTTCTCTCAGCGGTGTTGGCAGTAATATTGCGTCTAGCAGCGGTGGAGGAGGAAGTGGTCACGGAGGAAAACCAGTACTAACCAGACAGGACTGCACAACATCGCTGTCAGCATCCATACACCACAATCGAGATCTGCGTAATGCTACACCAATGTTAGGAAGTAGTGACGAAAGTGGTCCGCCCATGTGCTTAGCGGCAGGTCTTCAGGATGACGGTACGGCTGCGAGGTCGGTGCCGGATATTGAGCTACACTGCCGATACTTGGCGGTCAGCCGGTGTCAGTGCCAGCGGCGAAAAAGTCACTGCATAATATCTAGATCGGTGTCCAGAGAAAGCGTACGGGTTGGTGGACACGGTAGTATTGGTGGCGGAAGTGGTTGTGGAGTCAGCGGGGGCGGCGGTGGTGGCAGTGGCGTTGGATCAGCGTACGGACTGTCACCACCGCCGCCAGTGTTACTTACCACATCACCAAGCTCTAGGATCATAAGACAAAGTTCACAACCAGAGGCCACCGGGAGCGTGTCCATGTGTTCGGGGCACTGTTGTCACATGCACCATCCGCCCAGTTCTTCTCTGCGACAGTTAAGAGATCCGGCCGACAACATAGCAATGATTGCGGCTGACTCACTTCGGATAAACGGCGCTATAAGACAGTTCCGACAGGTTGGATATTGTTGTTATTATTTTTAATATGAAATATATATTTGTATTCCCTACGATAAGGCACTATCATGTTTATTCGTGACCAACATAGTGTGATAAGTAATAGAGTAAAATTAATTCGACATTATGTCATCGCAGAATTAATTTTGTCAAATAAATAATCTACATATAGCATGTTGAAAAAAGTCAACGGATCTAAAAGAGAAGTTAACTTATCTTCAATTACAACGATTTATCAAAACAATTTCTTGAGTGATATTAATTATTTTGGTCTATTTATATATGAGTATAATCATTCTAATAAATCTTTAATGCAAAGTAAGGATGGAAACATTTAAAATGATTATATTAAGGATGGTATCTATAAATTTTTATTCAAATTTAGAAAAATAATATTTTAGTACTATTGGGTTCAAAATTAAAAAAAACTCGTGTTAAACACTGGAAAACATTACACTACAAAAGTATCGAGTATTAATTTTGTAAAACTTTAACTGCATTACACAAAGCTTTATAATTAGTTTGCTTTGTTATATTATGCTGGATTGATCATTTAAATAATTTCTTAATAGATAATTTGACCCGAAATTCTTTTTGTTTGAGTTAATTCCCTGAAAGGAAACTAACTCAAATTTTTAAAATTTTAGAAAAAATATGAATAGTTATATTTTCATGAATATTTTTGAAAAAAAAAATCTTTGATTATGGTTTTTATATTGTTTGCAGCAATAAAAGTTCTATAAACGTTTATTTATAGGGGTTTTCTTCTTAAGAGTTAGTAAATTAGAAATCTCTAAATATATTTTTTGATATATGAAAGATTTTAACGCTGCCTAGTGATTTGACTTCAATAATATATTTAGTAAAAAAAAAAAAAAAAATTCTAAATCTAAATTTTATTATATTTATATTTGTTTTTGATAATTTAAGAAAATATACACACATACTTCTAACAATAATAACCGGTATACAAAATTATCAAAGTATTGTTAATTTTATATACTGTTTAATTATTAATAATGTCATTAATCAATTATAGTATGGGGTAAAAACAGTATTATCGTCATTATCATTATTTTCGGTACACAGAGAAATCATCAAAATCTAAAAAGAGTAATAGAAGAAATTCGTTCAACACAGTAAGATTTGTACAGCCAAAAAATGTTATAAGCAAAATTTATAAAAGTAGATTTTGTATTTATTTGTGCATCATGGTAACAAAAATGCTTTGCAAAATAAAATACTTTTCTACTAGTCCTTCAAGGTACTGATAAGAAATGTACATTATTCGAAAAAAATATTAATTGTAATTATTATACCACACGGTAGCCATTGAAGATACAATGTCCAGCACCATATTTTTAAATAGACTTAAGTCTGATTTCATTTTGAAGAAAACGATCCAAAAAGAATTGATAAACTAAAAAAATAGTACCTTCGGACTCAGTAGAAGATGATAATGTGAAGAAAACTTACAATAGACTTTTTTTTCCAAAAATATTTAAATTAAAAAATGCCATATCCTGTCTATAAATGTTTAAGTTATATAATATTTTGTGATAGAAATACTTTTATATCAAGATTATTATTTTAATTTGTTACTAAAATCTTTTAGTCAGCTCTGATGCACCCTCTGTTGTAATTAAAATATTAATTGTTAAAGTTATTTATAATGATTAAGGTAATATATTAAGTAATTATTTTAAATAGTTTGTATTTTTAATTAATAATTAATTAAATATACAAACTATTTAAATATAATTATTATATTAAAATAGCGATAGCTTCAATTAATTTTATTCTATTTATTATGATAGATAAGTTAGTGGTAGTTTTATTTATTTTAATAAAATTACACATTATTTTAATAATAGATTTCTAATATAAAATTAATTTTTATTTAGAAGATAAAAGAAATTTTAAAATTATTGTTTTATTTTAATACAACAACTGGCCTCTATATACAAAGCCTCTATATTGTTTTCAACCTTCAATACATTATTTTACTACCACTAGATGTCAGTGGTAGTATACAGAATACATTTTCAGTTTCTATTTTTGGCTAAATAATTTTAAAGATATTATCACATAATTCTAATTTATTTTTTTTTAATTCTTCATTTAAGCTAAAATTTTTGAAATACATAAAACTAAACCATCTTCAATATTTTCGGTATTGTTAATAACTTTAATTACTGGATCGCTGATTTATAATCTCTTCCATAAAACTATACAGGTGGGCCCACCACTCACTGACAACTTAAATAACTTTTGATCCAGTTAATATTTTTAGCTGATTTTTTTTTTAAATAATAGTTATACGTTAGGTCTATAGCTATATCTCAATAATTAATTTTTTTACATTTTATTAAAAATATTAATTATTTTTAAATTTTAAATAAAATGTAAAAAAAAAATCTAAGATAGCTATTTTGTAGAGTAGAATTTAAGAAAAATTTTAGTAAAAAAATATCTTATTAATATTCAGTAGTAAATATTCTGTAGCGTTTTGAAGTTTGTGAAAATTTGAATTTTCATGTATTATTTTACGGTATTAAACATTGAAATACGTATTGAGAAAAGGACAGAAGAAAACGCTATCTTTTCAATATACTTTTGAATGAGAGTGATAAGTAATAATTGCCTTATCTAATTTCTTATCATGGTATTAATGCCAAGTTTGTAATGTATACACATTATCATCATATGTATACACAGTAATCATGAAAATATAGCGTTTTCTTCTGTCCTTTTCTCAATACGTATTTCAATGTTTAATACCGTAAAATAATACATGCAAATTCAAAATTTCACAAACTTCAAAACGCTACAGAATATTTACTACTCAATATTAATAAGATATTTTTTTACTAAAATTTTTCTTAAATTCTACTCTACAAAATAGCTATCTTAGATTTTTTTTTTACTTTTTATTTAAAATTTAAAAATAATTAATATATTTAATAAAATGTAAAAAAAAATAATTATTGAGATATAGCTATAGACCTAACGTATAACTATTATTTAAAAAAAAAATCAGCTAAAAATTTTAACTGGATCAAAAGTTATTTAAGTTGTCAGTGAGTGGTGGGCCACCCTGTATACGTTTTTGTGACTTAGTTGTTCGAATTAGGGGTGTAATCTTAGTAAAGCACTCTGTATATTTATTGAATTTTATTAGGTAATTATATTTTATTTTTTTAAGTTAAGGTTGTTATTGTCAGTTAGTTTTTTAATTTTTTGCTTTCTAGTTCCTTTTATTTTTAAATGACTTATTATTAATTTTAAAAACGACTATTGTTTAGTTTTGCTGTATATATAAGTTAATATCTTTTAGTAATAATAATATTGTTTTTACTTCAAAACTACAGTTGTATATTTTAAAATAACAATAAGTAAACAACTATCCAGATGTCATAAAAGTTTAGACAAATCCAAATTTATAAAAAAATTTTGAGTGATAGTTGTTATTAAAATTAATTCAGTAAAAACTGGAAAGAGGGCACGTGCTTCTATATAATAAATAGAAGAAGAATGGAAATTAAAATAAAATGGATGATAGAATAGAAATATTCAAACAGTGGTTGGATGTGTTAACGATTATTAAACGTTGGTAAACGGTGGCTGAACATATAGGGGTAATTGTCAAATGAATAAAATAAACATAAATTATCTACGATAAAATTATAGGAAACATAAAGAAATAATAGAGTTATCTCGGTGGTTAAATTATATTAGGTTAATGAGATTAAAATTTAACCTCATAGGGATACCTAATATCTCTATAAAGTTTACTAGTCTATCCTGATAATTTATTATGTAATAGTTTGTTTGTACTCTGAAAGCATGAATTAAAAATTTTTACTCACCTTAAAAAGTTTCCAACTTACACTAATATAAGATTCAAAAGTATTTGTATTTATCTAGAAATTTATTGAAGCGGTATTGTGATGGCCCAATGTGTTCCGGCGCGTGTGCCTTGAAAAGATGAAGCACAATAATTACCAAGACAAATAATAAACACTAAAAAATATCTCCACAAATTTTTTTGTTGATATCTGCTGGTGGGGTTTCGTTAAGGCTAAGGCATTAAGCTCGAGACTAGGTATTCAATAAGAAAACTCACAATAGATTATTATTATTGAATAAATATTTAAAGTTAGTTTTGGTTTATCATTAAAATTAAATAAAAAAAAACATTTGATGTTTTAATTAATTGAATGTTCAATAAACTTTTATTTTCATGACAAGAGAAATAGATATTATTATATAATGAACAAATAAATTTAAATAAAACATTCACCATATAAAATTCTCTTTAAAATTTCTAAGTATTATTTTAATTGAAAAATATTCCAAGTCTACATTAAATTGAAAATACGACTTACTCCCATAGAGTAAGGATCTTGAGTAGAGTATCGCAATTTTTTTGTATACTGAAACAATCAATAGTACTGATCTTATTAGAAAAAAAATGTTTTTTTTTTTATCAGATTGGGGTAATCTACAAATAATAATTCTAATCGATCAATCATAATAGATTCATTTCGTATAGACGTTTTTTAAATCTGTACAATAATTAGATTTTCTAATTATTGTATATAATTAATATACACAAATTGAAATCTAATTAATAATACATGTCTCGTTGGTTTGTGTTTAAAAAAAAGGAACCTTGTTTTGGTTATCTTGTATATTCGTAATATGTAACATACATGTGTAAATGATGACATAATATTTTATGTTAATATTGTAATTGATAACATAACATTATATTTGTGCCCAATCACTAAATCCGCCATTGTTCATTAGACCGAAATATTCCATGAAATATAAACCGTTAACCCTTTATTAGAAGCGGCTTCTTTTGGACCCAAAGTAGTACCGGCGATCTCGTAGATCAATGCTATATACTTACTACTTTGGACGCGGCGATCTTACCGATCAAAAAATTCACTACGGGCACCTGAGGCAGATAGCCGATGACTAAAGTGCATTAA